TTTTAATTTTAATCATGTATTTGGGGGGGAGGGGTTGGAGAGGATTTGTGATTTTTTTAAAAATCAGGGAAAGCCAGGATCCCTGCTAATCATTATTCAATCATTACTTCCACTCATCCATTACCCTACTGCCTTAAGCCATAGCAGGGTTTATTTGATAGAGAACAAGTTCTTCTGCCCAACAAACATCATAACTGAATCAGAAACTATAAAGATGACAAAGTAATAAGAGAATAAATAAGACTCTATTCAGATTTTTTTTTAAACTGATAGCAAGCTAACAGACTTTAAGTAGTTTATGCACCTACATCTTAACCAGCTAATTTACAATGAAACAAGCAGAAGTTGTCAAAGTTGTCATTTATCTATTTCCCCCCACCCCTATCCTGTATTCAAGAATTATTCCTCCCACTTGATCACACTTTTTCAGTGTCTTAAATATATAACATACAGCACCTCATCCCAAAGGCTTTTTTCCTAAACATGTTACACGCAGGAATTCCTTTACCACTCAGTGGTTAAGTGGACAACCAACACAGTGACTCTTTAAGGGAATGAATACTACACAAGGATGTCCACGTGAAGTTTTATGTTCACTAGCACAGGGCTTTTAACTGTCTTTGTTTCACCCAAAGGTGCACAGAGGTCTTTCCCAAACAAGAGCTCTTGCCTGAAACACAATTAATTTACCTCAGCCAGATGACACAGTCATTCTGGAAAAGGTATCGTAGCACTAGCAAGTACTACCACATTCCACGTCATAGCAATGAACTTATGAAATACAGATTACGTGTAAACAATAGATACCACATTAACTGCATGCAGTCTCCCTATTATTATTATGTCTACTCATCAAATTGTTCAGGAAACTAATGACATCCTCTCATTTTGCCTATACCCTAAAGCAGTGGTTGGCAGTATTTTCCATGGCAGGTCAGAATGATCCAGCTCAGATCAGAGAAGCACCAGCACTACCGTCTGACAACTACTTCCAATCTAGTGTGACATGGGCAGGTGCAGTGCAGTGCTGGTAAAGCCCTCTACTACTGAATACTACAGAGTCCTGCAGGCCAGATCCAATTGGTCTGGTGGCCAGGTCTCACCCACAGGTCATGGGTTACCAATCTCTCCCCCAAAACTAAGTAGTACTGAGTACTAACATTAGAGGTGAAATCTCCAGTACTCACTTAAGAGAGAGAAAACTTCTGTATTTTTCTTAATTCTCCCAGCTCTTCAAAGATTTTTACTGTTAATTTGTGTCAAATTCTGTATGTTCTCTAACTGATTATAGCTACCTCCCCTAATATACTTTTTTATACTAGAAATTATGTTGAACAAGATTCTTTTGTGGACACTGACTTGGGTTATAGGAACATTGCTGATAGAAGATTCATACCAGTCTAAGTATATTTTTGGGAATTGGAGATATTTTTTAAATGTTAAATTTGTGATTTAGTAAGTTGGATTTGTTAATAAATAAAGTTTAAAAAATCATGTTGAATTGCTGGAATGCTAGACACGCTTATTTACAAATCAGGAGAGAATGAGTACATAATTTTCCAAACCTTCTTCCTTAGTAGTCCTAAATATTCCTTAATTTCATCACCAATTCCTCTCATCTTTCTCCCCAGTTTTCCTCTGTGCTGCCAGTCTTTGATCCAGTCATATTTGCTCAGCAGCTTTTCAGGAAGCTACAAAGTTAAGAGGGTAAAAAAAAAAAATACAGCAGTTAATAAATCAGAAAAAACTAGAAATAAAATCCTGTCTCATATCTGTGACATTTACTCAATCAAATATTTATATGTATAGGTGCTCATAGTTTTACTATGATCTGTTCTTCATAAGAGCCATCCTGTGCAAAGGAAACTAAGTTTTTTAAAAACAAGACAACCCCCCTTATCCCTACTTCTGCCCACTAACATGGCTTTTTGCACCAATAACTGAATAGGGAGATCAGTTAATTACCAGTCCCTGATGCAGCTGAATATCCTTTCCCACTACAAAAGTGGCTTTTTTGCTGGATCATTACAGACTCTGCCGGACACATCACATCTAATAGAAACAGAGTATTTAAACCACCTAATAAACTGAAGTCAAGGTCATGTTCCTTGTGAACATGACTATTTTATGGCTCACAGTATTCTTGAATTATGAGAAAATTATATTTTGGCATTTTCTAAAAATGAAAAGTCATCTTAACTTTATTCTTTATATGTAGGCCTTTATACCCTACTTACATTTATATGGTTGCTTAAAACTTTGCTATCAGTACAACTTACACGCATCTTGAGGGTTATAAAGAAGTGAGTAAAAACCAAAAATCTGTAGTGACTGCATAGTGGTTAAAGTACTAATTTACTAAAACAATCATGCTTTGAAAATCTGATTTTGTAGGCAGTATCCAGCAGCTGTGTCCAACATTTTCCTTGAAGGAAATAAAAAGGGCTAATCATTCACCAGATTGTCCACATATCCTTGCTATTTAATAAAATATAAATGTTGTCGATAGAATGCAGACACCAATTATTTTTAACCTTTTCTAGTTAAACTGTAACAATAGGGAGCAATACCTATTGGAAAACAAATGTGTGCGTGAAGAGGTACTAACACAAAATGACACCAGAGCAGAGAAAACAATCAAGCCGGGAGAGCAGCGATTCAGGAGAAGCTGCTCCCTGCATATAAAAAGAGTCACGCGGCAGGGAGGAGAAGGTGAGAGCGGGAGGCGTCTCCCCCAGGAGAGAGAACAGGGAGAAGATTGCGGAGTTGGGGCAATTCCAGAGGGCGGTCCAGCATGGCAGAGAGGGCTGGACAAAGAAAAGGAGCTGGGTGGCTCCAGAGGACGCGAGTGAACTTTAATAGGATTGCACCAAAGAAAAATATAGGTGCGGGACGTGGAGAAGCTGTGAGAAACAGAGGCAGGGGTGGATCCTCTGGGGGAAAAAAAAAAAGAAAAAGAGAAAGTAAGAAAGGAAAGACAACAAACATGTTGGGAAACCTTGGCTTTGATTTTGATTTTTTTTTTTTTTTTTTTGAGTTACTGACTTCCTCAGGAGTGTTTGAGGAAAAAACGAGGAGGAACACGTGAATACCTACAAAAATAAAGGGGAAATAGCATTGAAAATGA